CAATACAATACAATACAATACCTGAGCAATTTTAGGAAAGCCATGGAGATCTTCCACCTGACACAGATTCATTGACAGAATATAACAGAAGCGAAACAAAGAGAGCTGACTTACCTCCATGAAGAACCGTTATAAACATTTCTACTGATAATCTGAAGGGAGAGAGACACACAATGAGAAAGGAGTTGTTAGGTCAAACATCAGAGAAAGCACAACATGCTTCAGAAAACGCCCCACACCCAGAAATGGGGAGGGGGAATTTACTTTTCTACCCACGGAGGAAGACATTGCCCTACTTCCTGGGAAATTGTCCTCCTTCCCTAGGTGACCTGACTTGAAAAATGCATTTTTCACCTTCTTTCTTAGGTGAGAATGCAGAGCAATCAATCCAACAGCTTCCCGGCAACATCAGGGGGCAAGTAAATGTTAAAACTCAGGGCCTGCATTAGGATTTCAAGATGGCAGTATAGAAATCGCATATACTAACTTGGTTCACAAGGCCAGGAAAAAGTACGACGGTTGAGCAGGAGGAGCTGCCTCACCTCCCGAATTCTATGTGGCTCTCCCAAATGAAAGTAATTCAAGAATTGTTTCTCAAAATAGCTTTTCACTAGAAGCCAAGTTGGTTACGTATTTCCCCCCGTTGCCCAGTTCTTCATTTGTTTGCTCTCCAAGGGTGACACAATACCCGATTAGAAGGCTGGTAAACATTCTTAATCTTGGCTAGCAGGCGAGCCAAGAGAAAGCAAAAGAACAAAGAAATCGCCATGTGTTCAGATCAGCTGACGGACAATCCTCATGATTCATGAGGAAAAAAAAACACAAGAAAAGGAGAGAGCAAGAGGGGAGGGAGAGGGAGTGTGTGCGTGAGAGAGAGAGAAGGGGCGAGGGAGGGAGAGAGGAGGGAGGGAGAGGGGAAAGGAGGGAGAGAGAGAGGGAGAGAGGGAGGGAGAGGGAGAAGGAGGGAGGGAGAGGGGGAGAGAGGAGGAAGAAGGGAGGAAAAAGAGAGGGAGAGAAGGAGAGAAAGGGAGGGAGGAGAGAGAGAGGTTTAGGGAGGGAGGGAGAGGGGGAAGGAGGGAGGGTGAGAGAGAGAGAAGGAGAGGGAGAGGAAGGGAGGGAGAGAGAATGTTCTGGTTTGGGATTAATCCTACTGAGGATTCTAAGGAACAATAAGGTTAGAGAGAATGTTTAACTTCCAGAATCAGACTCTGAAGTGAATAATATTGAAGGAGATGACACTCCCACCCACCCAAAAAGGAAAATAAAAAAGGAGAAACAATTGTTATTCTCTTTGACTAATTTTACCAGATATCAGCTCCCATACAGAATGTGCTTTCTAAAATGTGTGTTAGATGACATAAAAACCCACAACAACACTTTGCAATAACGATTAGAGGACACAGTTTTATTTATTTGCTCACTGGAAACTTGCACCATGAGCCATAAACCATAAATTCTCATGTACCATTCAATGCATAACATATTCTGTACAACCTTTTTTTTTAAAAAAACCCAGCCCCTTCAACGTAGCGTAGATTCTTCAGTTCTCTTTAAACCTATTTTGCAGAAGGAAACCTATGCTGGACTTTATATCCTTCTTTAAAACTTAATGCTGAGCTTTTGATGACCATAGAATAAATCAACCATATATACTTCACTTCATCCCATACCTAGGGAAACAAATGACTCTTACAAAGTTGGAGCAAGTGTTTATTAAAAGCTCATCATTAAGTTTTAAAGAGAGAAATCTCTCTCTCTGTCTGTCTCTCTCTCCATATCTCCCTCCCTCCTTCCTCTCTCTCCTCTCCCCCTCCTCTCTTCCTCCTCCTCTCCCTCTCTCCTCATTCTCTTTCTCTCTTCTCCCTCCCTCCCTCTTTCCTCTCCCACTTTTTCTCTCTCCTCTCTCCTCTCTCTCCTCTCCCCCCTCTCTCTTGGAAACAAGTCATTCTGGATGGGAATATCCATTCAGTTTCCTATCCTTACTTGCCATCTGCAATACATCACTGTCCATTTTTCCAATTTCTCTTCCCGTCCAATTTTCCCCCCCGATTTGTCATGAACAAATTGGCTACACAAACAGGACCATTGGCAATTATGCCCAAAGCATCCCAAGTCCTAAACATCAAATGATTGACAGTGTTGACCTTCACTCAGGTTTAGCCGCATCCAGAGAAGGTCAATTCGTGGTTCCACCTCCAGGTATGGCCAGTAGCAAGAACTTTTGGTCAGTGGTGATCAGAGTGGGTTGCTGCTGGCATTGCTACTGGTTCGGTGCCTCAAAAATTTTGTGCATGCATACTCGCTTTACTTACATGCACGCCAGAAGCATGCTACATGTGCGTGCACATTTGCAAATAAAAAGGTCTGTGCATGCACAAAACCTAAAAAAATATATTCACTACTGAAAATTGAAAACCAAGATGGTGGCCCTGTAGGAGAACCGGTTCGGGGGCGTGGCAGGCATGGGTCACAGGGGTGGGTTCCTGCCAGTTCTAAGCTCTTCTACAGAAGAGGTTCCACAAATCTATAGTGCCATTTAGAACCGGTTCCAGCTCCCTCCCCCCCGCCCGTCCGCACATCATCAAGATGAAGAGTGAGAGGAGGAATTCTGGGAGCTGAAGTCCACAGTCTTAAAGCTGTCAAGTTTGAACACCCTGGGTTTTTTTCTAAAGGGTTGGGGGTGTAAGGGCCTTGTAACCTGACAGCTTTAAGACTTGCACACTTCAATGCCAGAGTTCCTGAGCCAACATGACTGGAGGAGGAATTCTGGGAGTTGAAGTCCACAAGTCTTAAAGCTATCAAGTTTGAACACCCCTGGTTTTTTTTTTCCTAAAGGGTTAGGGGTGCGAGGGTCTTGTAACTTGACAGCTTTAAGACTTGAGCCATGGCGTCCCCCCTTAATTGAGATAAGTTCAAGCAAAAACGGCTCCCTTATACACAATATATCACAGGGCAAGAGAGATGTAGATAACTAGCCTCTCTCCTTTCAATTCTTTTCAGGTTCAGAAACGACACCTAACAAAAAAATAAACGAAATACATTAGGCAAGGATTTAAAAAAAGTCAAGAGTTCTAGATCTCCCTTGCTTTCAGTTGTTCATTGGTAATTTCCTCTGGATATTCAGATGTTGAGCTCCTTCTGATTCAACTTCTTTGGTCTCTTGCGCGATTCACTTCATCTTTCCATCCGTCTCTCTTATCCCTACACAATTGGCGAGACCATTCAAAACCTGTGCAATAAACAGGAGAAAAGCAGATGGAAAGAGAGGCATTAAAAAAAAGATAAAAGGATGTTGAAGATGGGAAGATTTGAGTCACGATTACCTAACTATTCAAAACAACACCCCCTCCTATTCTCTAATTTTGTTGTTTTACACCACACAATTTCCAGGTGGAAAGAGTATTTATTGCAGAAGTGTGAAAGACATATTTTTGAATATATATCCAGTATATACCATCAAAGAAAGTTGCCAGTGCCACGATCTTAAGTTACTGATCACATTAATACATCACTGTAAGTAATAGTGCTTACAGAGATAAGTCATCTTATCTCATTTCTTTGGAAATTAATTCATCGGGTTTAAAATAATGCAGGGGACACGGTGGCTCAGTTGCTAAGATGCTGAGCTTGTTGATCAGAAAGGTCGGCAGTTCAGCAGTTCGAATCCCTAGCGCCGCCTAACGGAGTGAGCTCCCGTGACTTGTCCCAGCTTCTGCCAACCTAGCAGTTCGAAAGCACGTAAAAAATGCAAATAGAAAAATAGGAGCCACCTTTGATGGGAAGGCAACAGCGTTCCGTGCGCATTCAGTATTGAGTCATGCCGGCCACATGACCACAGAGACGTCTTCGGACAGCGCTGGCTCTTCGGCTTTGAAAGGGAGATGAGCACCGCCCCCTAGAGTCAGGAACAACTAGCACATATGTGCGAATGGAACCTTTACCTTTTAATATAATGCAAGTTTGCCACCTATGATTTCTCCTACTTACCCCCAACTCTCACAAAAATGTTATGATATAAAAAATATGGGGGTCTGGTGGCTTAAAACATATGAAGAACGGTTGCTGGAACTGGGTATGTCTAGTTTAATGAAAAGAAAGATTAGGGGAGACATGATAGCAGGAGAAACTTCCTAACAGT